CCTCCCAAAAGGGTGTGTTGCATTCCAGCCCGGCCCGGGGGTGGAGCTGCCAGCCAGGAACAGGCACCCAAATCCCTGAAACATCCCTAAAAACGGGGGTTATGGAAGCTGCCGGCCCGAGGGCTGCAGGGAAACCTCTTGGAGATGAAGGGAAATCTCTTGGAGCTGAAGGGAAACCTCTTGGAACTGCAAGGAAACGTCTTGGAGCTGCAGGGGGGACAATGGGATGTCCCTCCAGGCAGGAACAGGCACCCAAATCCCTAAAATCAAGTTTTAGGGAAGCTGGTTGACCAAGGGCTGAAGGGAAACCTCTTGGAGGTGTAGGGGGGACAATGGGATGTCCCTCCAGCCAGGAACAGGCACCCAAATCCCTAAAAACCAGGTTTTAGGGAAGCTGGTTGCCCAAGGGCCGCAGGGAAACCACTCCAGGGGTAAGAGGACATTCCTCCAGCCAGGAACAGGCACCCAAATCCCTAAAACCAGGGGCTATGGAAGCAGAGGCTGGGCAGCTCCACCCCAACCAGGAACAGGCACCCAAATCCCTAAAATCAAGTTTTAGGGAAGCTGGTTGACCAAGGGCAGAAGGGAAACCTCTTGGAGCTTCAGGGGGGACAACAGGACGTCCCTCCAGCCAGGAACAAGCACCCAAATCCCTAAAAATGGGTGTTATGGGAGCTGGTTGCCCAAGGGTTGAAGGGAAACCACTCCAGGGATAACAGGACCTCCCTCCAGCCAGGAACAGGCACCCAAATCCCTAAAAACCAGATGATATGGAAGCAGACGCTGGGCAGCTCCACCCCAACCAGGAACAGGCACCCAAATCCCTAAAAACCAGGTTTTAGGGAAGCTGGTTGCCCAAGGGCTGAAGGGAAACCTCTTGGAGCTGCAGGGGGGACAACAGGACGTCCCTCCAGCCAGGAACAGGCACCCAAATCCCTAAAAAACAGGTTTTAGGGAAACTGGTTGTCCAAAGGCTGAAGGGCAAGACCTCCATGGATAACAGAACATTCCTCCAGCCAGGAACAGGCACCCAAATCCCTAAAACCAGGGGCTATGGAAGCAGAGGCTGGGCAGCTCCACCCCAGCCAGGAACAGGCACCCAAATCCCTAAAAACCAGGTTTTAGGGAAGCTGGTTGCCCAAGGGCTGAAGGGAAACCTCTTGGAGCTTCAGGGGGGACAACGGGATGTCCCTCCAGCCAGGAACAGGCACCCAAATCCCTAAAAACCAGGTTTTAGGGAAGCTGGTTGCCCAAGGGCTGAAGGGAAACCTCTCCAGGGATAACAGGACATCCCTCCAGCCAGGAGCAAGCACCCAAATCCCTAAAAACCAGGTTTTAGGGAAGCTGGTTGCCCAAGGGCCGCAGGGAAACCGCTCCGGGGCCGACAGCGCGTCCCTCCCGCCGCGGGATTCGCGGAGCCAACCTCGCCACGACCCTCTGCCCTTCCAGAGATTCCCGGGGGCGATCCCGAGGGCCCGGGGAGGCGATCCCGGCTCACCTGGTAGGCGTGATCCGCCTGGATGTGCCAGAAGGAGCCGGGGGCCGACTGGCTGAGGGCGGCGCCGGCCAGGGCGGGTTCCAGCCCCGGCTGCTCCAGCAGGAGCGGCTCCGGCCGCGCCAGGGCCTGCTGGATGATGATGGGGGCCGAGGTGGCCATGGGGCTGGGGGTGGTGGCGGTGGTGGTGGTGGTGGTGGCCACCTCTGGGGTTGGGTCTTCCTTCACCTGCACCTCGGTGTAGTAAAAATCCTCCTCCCGCTTCCGCTGCTCCGAGTCGGCGCCGTCCCTGGAACAAAAAAAGAAGGGGGTGGTGGTGAAAAGGTGTCTCCGTGTCCCTGCTTTTTTGGGGATGGATCTGCCCCTTCCCAGCTGCAATCCCAAGCTCCAAAGCATGACAGCAGCACTCTTGAGCTTCCAAGGAGGATCGACAGCTCTCCTGGGAAGAGAAAAACGTTGGAATGGGGAGCGGGTGCCGCCGAAAATTCCCATTTCGGAGCAGAAATCCAGCAGGGAAAAGCTCCTGGAGGCTGTGGTGTTGTTTCTCCGGCGCTGGATGGCACTCCAGCACCTCTCACTGCATCCCTCCTTCCCGGGAGCGTTCCCGTTGGGAAGGGAGGAGGAGGAGGAAAATCCGCGGCGGGAAAGGCGGACGAAGCGCGGTCTCCGTGGTTTTTTTTTGGGGGGGGGGATATTCCCAGAAAAATCAGGAAAGCAAACCCCAGGTAAAATACCTACCCCCGACCTGGGCAATTTCAAAACTTAAACTCATATTTTTTCCTAAAAAAACTCCCCCAATTTCCCTAAAAAAAATTAAAAAAATCTATTTTTTCCTCCCAATCCCGTATTTAAAAAAAACCATGTTTTTACCCCATTTGCTTCTCAAGAAACCACGATTTCCTCCCTCCCCAGAAAAAAACAAAGACATTTTTCCCAACGTCTCACCATTTTACCAAAGAACCCTCAAATTTTTTCCCCCCGAACCCACCATTTCCCCCAA